TCTTTAATTTCCTTCTCATAACATAATTAGAAGCTTATATATACTAGCAGTCTAGCGCCGAGGCAATGCACATACAATAGCCATGCCATTTTTTCTCCTTTCCTCTTCTGAATATTGTTATGGCTACGCCGTTTTTTTATCCTTTCCTCTTCTGAATATTGTTACGTTGAGTTTGCTATGAACTCTTTTTGATGAATCCTTCATATGTGCTCTTTATTTTGATTTGAATTTCATACCCGTGCACGTTAACCGTTTGACGAAATGCATGAATGAAACGGTTAAGGTTTCTGGCCTTGAATAGAAAATACATTCATGGTTTCTATGCCTTTGAGTCACTAGAGTGTGAGAAGGGGTAGTCAAGGTTAAGCCTTTTTTTATGTTCCGATGTTGTGGAGGGCTTGAAGAATAACAACATCTGTAAATGTTATTGCATCGAGCTAGAACTTTTTGGCAAACTCAAGCCTGTAGAAGACCTCTTAAACCACCATGCCTTGTATTCTCTTTTTTCTCCTACTCAGAAACCCTACAAGGGAAGACCTTTACAGTTTTGTCACCAAACTCATCCACCCCTGCTGGATCAGAAGTTTTTAACTACATATGCTAATAAGCTTAACTCGTTGTACATTTTTTATTTATACCATTTTTCAGAAGACTAGAATGAGGGATAGATGTATCCTGTATGCCCAAGGAGGTGATGGTGACAATGGTTGTCGAAGCACTTCTGGTGGTAAACCTACTATAGTTGGTTGTTATATTACCAGTTTTTTTTTTTTTTTTTTTGTCTACAAGCTGTAATTTACCAATTATACTGATATGTATTTGTGTTTGACATAGTAACTACCGTTTTCTTCACAATTTTCCACGTTTTACTATCACTACAGTATATATCTCTGTTCCATTTCTAATAATCTTGATAATCAAGAGCAACTATTCTAGTAAATATTGATGGAGAATTGTTCATGGTATTTGTGCTTCTATCATGTGTTCGTGGAATTAATGCAGGTGGGAATGGTGGAAGAGGTGGTGATGTGATTCTGAAATGCTCCACTACGATTTGGGACTTTAGTTTTTTGCATTGTCATCGCGTTATTTGTCCTTCACAACTCTAAGACCAAAATTAAGGAATTTAAAATTTAAAGATTATGAATCACAGAGGTTGATATTCCCCGAATTGATGAAAGGGGCTCATCAGAATCGTGGACTAGGACATGCTTTTCCGCGGCACGGAGAACGCACTAATTAAGGTACTGACTTATGTTGTAGACTTAGCTGCTGCATTGGATGGTAGAAAAGGAGTCCCACCATGGGAACAGCTACAAGATTTAGTCTTAGAACTTGAGCCACCAAGAAGTTGTGTCTGATCGATCATCCTTGGTGGTGGCAAATAAAATCTATGAGACACATGCTGAAGAAGTTTATGAAGAACTACGACGAAGGATACAAGGTGTTCGAATCTAATCTGGTGTGTGCTCTTGGAGGAAGCGGTACCAACTTTGAAAGCCGGTCTTGGAATGCTCGTGAAAAGTGTGAAAGTTCAAACAAACATTGTCTAG